AATAGAAAATTAATCTCTAAAAAAATAAATATCAGCAACTAAATTTGTTAAGAAAGAAAAGTATAGATTTTTTAGGTTTTTCCAATGATTTCTCTTCTAAATTGGTGAATGGCTGAGAATCTCAAATATTGCAAGTAGAATTAATTTCTTATTCGTAAATAACTGCTATCAAAACAAAAGCTAACAAGGATTTTGAATGTCTTGTCTCTCCTATATATATATATATATATATATATATATATATATATATATATATATATATATATATATAAATAAATTAACATTTGTTTACACAAAATTCTGAATAATATTGCAGGGAAACTTTTTCCTGAGCAAAAAAAAAAAGTGCAAATTTTATATATTTTAATAATTGCTTTTGATAAATTGACATAAAAAAAGATCCAATTATAAAATTTCATTTTATAAGGATAATTATTTCATAGTTATTTGTGTTAGAATTAGCAGTTTTTACAACCATAACTATTCTGTAATTTTTAAGACAAGTTTATTAAATTAGCAGCAAATATTCTATCTTAAAAATTCTTTTGAATGATTTACTTTTTACATTTTTTGTTGCATTTACAAACATTCAACAAGCTTTTTGTTCAAATATAAAAGCAGAAATAAAGAAAAAAATATAATCAAATTAAAATTCCCATGGTAAATAATGAACAAAATAAAAGTAAATTGAATAAGCATATATCATAATAAAGTATGTGAATTTTGCTTTATATTTCTTTGTTTTTCTATCAGTAACATTTATGATGCTAAAGAGATTTATAAAATTATCAAGTGAAATGTTTGACCTAAAACAAGTAAACATGTGAAATAGAATACTAAAATACTTAGGCAGAGTACACAGATACTCTGACCCTAGGTAGAAGTGCTGATCTACATATTGTCATTTTTTTATGGAAACTACTAGTATTTATAATAGTGACTTGCAGATTTACCAAAAGCATTAACACAAGTTTTGATTAACTTGAATAGAAACAAATATAGCAAATTTCAGAAACTTCAGTCAACTTTTTCTTAAGTTATAATATCTTACTTTTCAAACATTTTATATATCTGTATGATTAAAATCTAAATTACTGACAAACTCTATACAAAAAATTGTATTTTCAAATAAAATCATTTCAAATTTCAGCAAAATAAGTCAATTATATTAAAATTATAAGCAAAAAAGCAAGCAGTTACATGTAAAAAAAAGGAGAAAATCAATAATCTTATTAAAATACATTACTAGAAAAGAGTTTTACAAAAATATAAAAAATATTGCTTTTTCATCAAAATGAAAAGATTTTTTATTAGTCACAAATGATTCAATTTTGTATACTCATTTTAAAAATTAGATTTGAAATATTTGCTAATACTTCTGCAATCATTATTGATAATATTACTGCTCTAGAATACCAAACATAAAATATTTGGTATAGTTTTTTTATTGCAAGTTTTCAAATTAGTATGTTTATTTTGCCTATAATGATATCCATAAATATAGACATAGATAGACTAATAAGCACATTGTTGAATTCTGAAATGAAATTTTTACTGTACAATGTTTGGTTTAAGTAACATTCACTATTAAATTAAGAAAAGTGCTATTTTCATTATTAGGCTACAGACTTTAAATATATATGATGAAATAGTTTTAAAATCTTTGGAAATTGAAAATCATCAGTTAAAGTAAACTCTTACAAACTTGGGATGAGTAACAAAACTGAATGACTTTTCCACCAGTTTCTTATTTTAAACTTATTTATATACACCAGCACTTGAGTATAAGTTTATAAATTTGAGATTTTTAAGAATATTTTAGAACCAAATTTATTTTTTATGACTTTAATCATACCACATTTGTATGACAAAAAAATGTGCAAATAATTAAACAATTCCAAAAAAAACTAATAACTAAGTTGTATTTGTGGCATTTTATATTTATGTACTTTGGTATTAAGATATATTTTGCAGAAAGAATCAGCCTCTTCTCTACAGTCTCTTTCCCAGAGACAATATTGCAAGCTTATTGCTACTCCATCACTATTTCTATGGCAAATGTTCAGATGAGATCCACTCATTAGTTCAACTAGTTCAGTCTTTTACAGCCCTTTCCAGACAAGTTGAATCACCCACATTTCTTCTGTATTCCATTTGTAAGGAGAAAGTTCCACTCAGAAAACTTTTTCTCTGAGAACTCTACTCTGTGAAACAGTTTCCCTGAACACTATAATCTTTACCTCTTCAAGTCAAGTGTCAATTGTTACCTATCCACCTTATCCTCATAATCTTCACTTTTTTCTACTTACTCTTACATTCATATAACACACCTCATTTAGTAGCCCTCTACTTTGAGTGGGTCATGAGCTCTGTATTGGATGAACTTTAGCATATATATATTAGTGATAGCATTGGGTTGTAGCTATAGTGTTTTAGTCTGTAAGATTTTTACACTGGTTGTATGCATAATGAAATTGATTAGTGTTTGGCTTAATATCATGGCATGCACAAAAAGTTCTACTCTAATCAGGAGTATAACAATCTTCATATTAAATTATCTGAAATACACTAATTAGTATTTACTTTTTAAAGTTTAAATAGGAGGCACAGTGTAGTAATGGATAGTGACTCGGATTGAGGAATCAGAGAGCCGAGTTCGAATTCCAGTTGAATCCATTACATTCACTTATGGAAAGGTATGAATCCTCTTCTCCCCCAGCTATAATAGCAGGACAGACCGGGTTCTATAGCCTTAATAGCAACTGGTATACCACAGAAAGAAATGGCAAAAATCTGCCTTGTCAGTCATGCATCAAAAGATACATGATTGCTTACACGTGTGTCACACATGGCACATAACTGACTGAAAAGTTAGGATAAGGACAACTGAAAATGGATATTGTAAATAGAGAAAGCAAAGAAAGAAATTTTATTGGCCCCAAATAAAAATTGGTGTGGAAAGTAGAGTGGGAGAATATGACATGTTTGAAGGCAAATATGAAATTCTAATAACTACAATTTACATTGCAATTAGAATAAGAACTTTTTTTATAGTTTAATTCCAAATATATAGTTATTACTTGTAAACAGCAAAAACTAGTTTTTTTTTTTAAAGATAGTTAATAGTATCTATTGAGTTTTAAAAAATGAATCACATAGATTATTGATACAATCATTAGTTTTTAAAGGAATATGTTAATACTGACTAATTTAAAAAATTATTATAAAACCATAAACCCAGGCCATGCAATAAGCATACACAAATTATGACATGCAAAGTTAGATAATTAGCAATATTTATTCTCTAAATAAATGAATTCAAAGAAACAAATACAAAGCTTATACTTTGAATACGAGTAAAATTATTCAGGAGTCATACTATAATTATCCAGTTTGATAATTGCCTGTATCTAAAAATTATATTATACAACTAATAATAGCAAAAACTTATTTTAAAAAATTAGGTAAGCATAATTTAAAAACAAAATCAATAAAGCAATATTAATAATGCTTAATATTAAAAATAAAAAAAAACAGTTATGTGATTTAACTGACTATAATGATAAAGCTTTCATGCAAGATATTAATTGCAAATAAAATAAGTGATTGGCATTCACATCAGAAAATGAACTTCAACACAATTGAAAATAAGATTTTTCAAATAAAAACAAAAAAATTAAAAATAGAGACAGATTAGGAAAAATCTATAAGTAATACTAATTATAAATGATTAAGTTGAAAGCATAAATATCTTCATTATTTTTAATACATATTTTCATTATTAATATTTTATTTTCAAGGTCTATTATTGAAGGATAAGGATTTACTGATAAACTGACTAAAGTATTTTTCCATAAAATGAGTAAAAGTCAAATTCTTATTAATAATTTTTTGTAACAAATACTAGTTTAAACTATAAATTTATAAAAATTATACTTTCAAAAACATATATTAAAAAAAATATGAAATACTGTTATATTTTGTAAGATTATAAAAATTTCTCTAACAAAGATAACATAATATCACTGCCACATTCTATATACAACACCAGTAAATAGTTGAAAGTAAAAGCTTTATTAAAGTATCATATCCCAAATTTGCAAATTAAAATATTTTGGCCAAGATGGGTTTTTTATTTAATATGCACTATAAAATAATTTTTTCCCCTTGAATCCTTTTAATAAAAAGATTTGAGAATTTGATGACTACCTGAAAAAAATTATTTGGGATAAGTGGCAGTATTTTATAATGAGTATGAATACAAGTGAAATATACCTCATTATTTCTTAATTAGTCATATGATCAAAAGAAAACTACCTGAAATTAAATCAGCATGCAGAAAGTCCTTTCCTATATCAAAATATTATCAATAAAGAAAACAAATCTAAGGATGAAATAATTTATTTTTAAAAAATAAATAAATAAAAAAATCCAATATAAAACAATTTCTCTCATTTGCTTTCAAGATGAAGCACTAATTATTCTAGTATAAATAAACAATAAGTTTTGTTTATTCATTAATCAAAAGTACTTTTAAATCACTGTCATTATTATTAAATTTCTTTTACCTGTAAATTTAGGTAAGAGAATATGCAAAAGGAAAGAAAGTTAATTCTATAAAAATGCTGACAGTTAACATTAATAAATCATAATGATAACTGAAAAGATTAAATGCAAAGAAAATGATCCTTGATAAAAAGAAATATTTTTGAACATTATGAAAAATATAATGGTTGGAAACTATAAAAATAAAGTCTATAGCATAACTTAGGAATTAAAACACAAAAATTCAATGACATACACAGAAGAAATATAATATTAAACTTAGTAAATTTCCTTGAGTCTAAATCAAAATTTATTTTATAAAAAGATAAATTAGCCAAACCTTATATAGAAAGCAGCCAAAATGAAGATGTTATTTTAGCAAGTACTTATGTATTTTCCTAATCTTGATCTCCTCTTCAATACAAATCATCTAAATAGAATTGTGTTCCTCTTACCATCATCAGAAGACATTTTATTTCTAAGTTCTGTTTCAAGACGTGCTTGTCTATCTTCCAATTCCAATTCTTTTGCCCTGGAAAAAATATTAAAACTAGACAGAATATTTATTAAAACATCATATTTTATAAATAGAAATTGAAAAGAAAATAATTTTTTAAAGCTTTATATAGGTCTTCTGATTTGAAAGCGTTAATAAAATGGCTGATACTGATCTTTAATCCTGATAATTAGGAAAAGTAAACTTCAGAGACTAGTTACATAAATTGATTATGAAAGATGTTCAAATTGCTAATTGTTCAAATTTAAATGCTTAAGTAAATATTATGAATCTGATATGTTCATATAACAATATCTGGTATCACTCATTTCAATTTTCTATTGCATAATCTGTAATAACCTTTGTCACTGATGAGGAATCTAGAAGTAAACCAGACTGAGCTATTTTTGCCAATTCACCTATAAGTTATTTTTTTAAAAAGTGAATTTATTTTCTACATGTAAGTACAACATTAGAACTAACAACCATTGAGCAAATAAATAAAATGAACACATTTTTTACATTAAAAAATACCTCTGTATCTTATCTACAAAAACAAATTTCAGTAATAAAAGGTATATACTGAATGTGAAACTTGATGAAATCTGAAAAAGTTACTTTTTGTAAGCAATGATGATGTATAGTTTATTTTTGTTATGATATTTGAAAGTTTTACTATTGTCAAATGAGGAACAGAATAAAATAAAAAAGAAAGAGAAAAGCATGAAATTATGAATTTGTCTGGATTTTTCTTTTAAATTATTTGAATTCTGAGATTAAGCATTTCATTATTAATTTATAGCTAGACTGTTCTTCATCTTGTTGCCTGTTATGGCAACACTCTAGGTTGAATATCCTCTGAACTTTTAAAGTAAATAGTGTGAAATAGGAATTAAGAACTGGTTTCTAACAATGTTTAAACACACAATGCATATCATAGGAAATCACCTTTCATGGATGATGGCTTTGTTATGGAATTCTGTATGGAAGCCTGTAGCTAGACAGGGCACAAACCTACAGTCTAATTAATAATTGCTTTCTGTTGTTTACCATCTTGTAGAGCTAAAATCCATTTATAATTTCAACTGCAAAGATTATAATACAAAAAATTGATGTTTGCCTTGACTCTTAGAAAGCATAAAGATATCTTTGCAAAGTTTGTTTCTCAAAATATACTTTGTGCAATATTCTTGTATCATTATGTTTGCTGGTCTTTTATTATAAATGTCTTACAACTACATTTTTTTCTACAAAACCTTGTATTTTGCCAATTTAATTTGGCAAATCTTAGTATTTTCTGTGATCATCTATGAAGAATATGCTTAAAAATGAATTGTGTTGATAGTGCATTATAAATCTAATACAATTGCAAAAATGAATTATTGTCAGAATAATATCTTTTTCAAAATAATTTTAAAACCATTTTACATTAATAAACATTAATATTTACATCTTGGTTTTTCGGTAATTTATATACTTTCTGTTAATATTTAAACTTAAGAGAGAAATATTAAATGAACGATAAAAATTTAATAAAATAGAAAAATGTTATAAGATGACTTACTGCACCATTAGCTCAGATTCATAACGAAGTAGAACATTCTTTTCATGAACCAAATTGAACCATTCTTGCATGAGTTCTCCCTCATTACGTCCAGCTTCTGTTGAAATGAAACCAAAATCATTGATTGCAAAATGAGAAAAGTCTATATTTACATTTAAATGTTATTTTATATATGAAAGATAAACATCAAATAGAAAAAAATCATTGAAAAAAATTGAATAAAAAGAATAAATCAACTATTTTAAAAATTGGTGAAATACAATAATTACTCAAATTTGTTACTGAAAATTTAACATACAATAATTTCATTAACAGAAGACTTGTATAATTTTGATTAAACTTCATAAAAATGCATGGAACAAAATGAAAATATAACTGAAATGAAGAAAAAATTATGAAAGAATGATAAAATAATAAAAAGATGAAAGCTTTTAACAATGCAACAATTAATAATGTCTTTTCAGTAATCATAGATTATCTAAGCTGTATGTGTGTATATTAAGATTACAACAATTGGTTGATAATTTAATCAATCATGATTAGAACAAAAAAAAAACATTAATAAATAACTATCAGAATATTATTTAAACTCATTCTATTCCAAAGGTAACTGATGAGTCTTAATCCAAGGACAAAATTTCTGATGAAATAAACAAAGACAACCAAGCATAAAAACTGATTAATCAGGAAAAAACAAAACAATGACTGATTCATTGGCAAATGCACATATAACCAATTACAGTGTGTGTGTGTGTGTGTGTGATATCAAACTACTTTTCAAAAATTCCATCTTACAATTATCATGTAGAACATGTTTAAAATAGGTATTTTTATTAAATTCAAAGATTAAGAAAGTTTTTAACCTAGTAGATATTTATTGTTTGTGATAGGTCACTGTTATTGCATAAGACTAGTATTCTTATCTTTGATGTTTTTAATCACTACATTTTGACTGATGTGTTCTTTAGCCTGACTCAAGTGTATAACTCTTCTTGTTTATATCTACAAAAGAGAAAAACAGAAAAGACAGAACAAAAAACTGGATGAATATCTGAAGAAATCTAAAGAAAACATCAACTGAAATGTAGCAATAAAATAAGCAAGAGAAAAGATGAGAATACTGGTTCAAATAACTTATGAGATCTTAAATATTTATTAGGCAGTCAATTTTGATGCAAGGTCACATTTATAGAATATCAAGCAAAGATTGAACTAAAATGCTAAATATTATTCTTTGGTAACAGAATATTTTAAATCAGTACATAAAACTTAGTACCATATTCATAAAAAGTATCCAATTATTAAAAAAATAAAATTCGTTTTTATAGAAATACTGCTTATTTGAAAGTGTTTGCAACAACTTTATATTTATTTTTCTATATTTGATTAAGAGAAAATAAACAGTCTTTGAAATCTGTAATAATAATAATAAGGATTAAAATTATATTATATATTTATACGGCTTAAAGCAAAAACTTCTTTATACACCATTAATAAAAATAAAAATTTTTTGGTCATATGTGTGTGTGTGTGTGTGTGTGTTTATTCAATAATTTATATGTGCAAAACATTGAGAAATTATTCACCCTAGTTATGTTATAAAAATATTCAATGCAGCTTTTGTGTGAGAAAAAAGGACAGATTGCTATCTTAAAGTCAAAAGATTATTCTAATTACACAAATGGATACATTGTCTCAAAAATATTCTATCAATTAATAGATTTTCAGTACAAATTCTATTATTTATTTACTTTAGTGGTAAAATATCAGACATATTTTATCATTTACAAAGGCCCAATTTCTAGTGTTACTTTTGAAATTCTAGCTTTAAAAATGCATACAACCATTCTATCTACACCATGTCTCACATTATTAGCCACTTCATATGTTATTGCTAAATAAATACTTATGGTATCTAAAGGCTTATTTGTAGAATGATAGCAGCATCTAATTATATAGTTAGGGTGAAAGCTGGTTCATTCTTTGCAAATGTAAACATACAGCAGTCATTTATATGAAATATATTTAATTTTAAATCCTCAAATTAATAGTTACTTTGCAAGTTTGAAGCTTTAAAATGGGTTATTAGATTGATTTGATGGATGAAGAGAAATGTTTTAAAACTTCAGAAATTGTAAAAGGTAAAATGATCATCATTTTCAAGAGTTTTTTTTGAAGATTCTGAATGACCAGTGAAAGCATATTGAGAATTTTATCTCACCAATCTGTGTTTCATATCAAGAGAAAAGTTATAACAAACCTACCTTTTGTCAAACCATGAATGTTTTAGGCATTGTGGCAGCAAAGACACATAAAATTACAAGATGTTAATTCTTAAACTAAGTGGCAAAATGTGAGACCATTCACAAAGTCTCATTTAAAAGACATCCATAAAGAAAATCAAATGAAATACATGAAGACTGATTTTTCAGATGTCCTTTTCATCAATCAATAGGCCAAACAGATGGATCAAAAGCTGGGTGGCTATTGGCTTAAACATTGGCAATGGTGGGATTATAAGTGGTGGGCCCATAGTGAATTCCAGATGGTGTTAAAATGACAGTTCAGACATGATGAGTTTTTGAAGGCACATACAAGGACATGGTTCAAGAAGAAACTACATACTTTTGGAAAGGGCATGGATTTTTGCATGACAATATTCCATCTCATTCAGCAAATATAATGAATACCTGGCAAAAATAGGTTTTAAGGACTCATTTGATGATGTGCCCAGCTTGTTTGCCTTACCATAACCTATTAATGTCCACTATAAAATCTGATATTAATTACAGGTTTCTACTTATAATCCATTAATGCCCATTGTACCATTTGAGAGACAGTGGATATTATTAGGTTAACCAGATTGAAAACTCCTGGAGCAATTTGAAGAAAATAGTTTACATTAGTGGATAGCAATTTACCAGCAAAGATAAACTTTGCAATCTTATTCTGAATGCTGTGTAGTCTGTTTCATATGAATAAATATAACAGCTCACAAAATCAATGGATGAATGACATCTAAAAGTAGTTTCAGAATATACAGAAAATATTTCACATTAATATTAGTTTTTATAACTTTGTCATCATTACAATATGGTTTCCAGTTTTATATTGTATTTATAAATTTATCATCATTATAATGACACAGTTTTTCATTTTCGTTCAATTTTGGTGTGTTTTGTAATGATAAAACTTTATGACAATGTTTTTTGGAGTTTCAGTAACCCCAAGTTAAGAACTTGGAGATTCTGGCAAAATTCATAAAACTTGTCATAAAAGTGACATGTAGCAATAAAATAAGCAAAAGAAAAGATGAGAATGCTGGTCCAAATAACTTGAGATCTTAAATATTTAGTTCTATAATTTATGCATATGTGCAATGTTATGCACATTAATAATGCAAATATTTCTATGAATTGCATCATTATTTTTCTAAAATTTATGAAAAATTAAAAGTGACTAATAATGTAAAATAGCATATATGTGTCATTTTTTATCAGTATTTAAAGCTAAATTTTAAATAGAGAATCTTATCTATTAAAGCCAGAAATGTAAAATGGTAAATGCAATGATCAGCAAATATGCTCATGTTTGTAAATGTCAAGACATTTACAAATATGTGCATATTTGTTCATTTTTGTCAAGAAAGTTCTTTAATATTTGTTATCAAAAGATAACTATCATTCCCATACATAATTTCAGCAATAAAAGGATTTCTATAGCTTTTATTAAATGAAAAATTAAAACAAGGATTTAATACAATTATAATCACCATATAAAATGTTAGATTTTATTAAATTGTTTACTATTTTAGCAGAGTAGAAAAACAAGTTAGAGGGCATTTTATTTATTGGAAGTATATATAAATTTATATTTTTGTGCATTTACTAAAATACAATTACCACATGTGAAACAACTTGTAAAGGAAGCTTTAAAATACCAGTGAAACTAAAGCATCAATAGTAAATGTTTAAATTTTCATATATTCAAACTTCATTGAAGTGACTCCATAAAATATTATTTATTCTACACTTGAACTCACCTTGAAACACTTACCACAAGCTATTAAATAAAAGTTTAAAATATAAGTGAGAGAAAAGATTTTCAATGAGATAGAAAAGCAACAATTCTAAAAACAAAACATCCACATAACAACATGCCTGAAAACAGAAACAAATGGAGGAAATTTTAAATTATTTGTATCTTTGCTCAAAAACTGAAAATTCCTATTAAAAAAAAAACAAAAGAGATAACAATGAAAATTGAAAATGAATGGTGCAGATTTTTCCCATTAAATTGTACTTATTAGAATTTATTTGGTTTACTTAAAGATAAAATATTCTAAACTAGTTAAGAAGTGGAGTTATAGATATTTTTAAAACTATCTGCATCTACTATTTTCCAATTGTGCATAAATATTTAATGGATGTTTATTTAGTGAAGTAAAGTAAAACAGGAATATATTGTTAGGAGTAGCAATTTATTTCTAAAATTATTAAAAAATCAATATGGCTGAACATTTAACTGTTTTGTTATAATATCAGGCCATACTAAAAGCAATGTAATACTTTTCTAAAGCAAAATGGAAGTGCTTTTTAGAAATTCTATTCTAAAATTTTTCTAGTAAACAAGTTTAATTATGGTGATAAATTTTATGCAAAATATCAAGACCATCTTGAAAACTTAAAACTCTTTATAAGAGATTTTACAGCAAACACAAACAAAAACATTATTTTACATTGAAAAACAATCTTTAAAAATCAGTAACATTTAGGATGACCTGATAAATTCCTAATATTTTTAATAATAAAACTTTTTTTTAATTTGATATAAATACACAATTTCTAGTTAATTTTTTACATTATGATATTATGAATGTCAATCAGACATCAAGGCTAGATCCTTATAATATATATAATTCAAATAAGAGAATATTTTTAAACTAACCAGTAATAATACTGTTTTAACCATCTACATAAAGCTTGGAAAAAATAGAGAATATTAAAACAAACTAACCAAATACAACACTTAATATCTGTGGGAAAGCAAATGAACAATGAACGAAATACAACAAGAAACAAACCAAATCTAGAAATGGAGCTATTTTAGGTCAGGAAGATTAAAATTTGGATCCAGACAAAAAAAAAAAATCTTACTTCGTTGTCCTCTGATGAGTGTTGAAACCTGGCTGATTCCTTTTCCTGAAATATAAGGCAAACTACCTAATGAACACAACAATATTGCTTGAATACAATATTTGAGGACTGAAAAAATCAAGAAAATAAAAAACTATCCACAAGTAAGGAATTTTCTGTAAATAATTTTACTAATCTAAACAATCCAATTATATTTCAAGGGTCATTAGAACTTAAAGATTTGCATAAATATCCAAATCCTATTTCTTTTTTTCTTGCTTATTTTTAAATAGTATCCACACTAGAGAAAATCTTACAAAAAGAAAATGAAAATACATGAATTTTTAAAAATTTCATAGTAGTCAGAGTAAAGTTATCAATACAGTTAAAATACCTTTTAATTCTAAAGCGAGCAATAAAACAGTATTGAATGGAGATTGAAAGAAGAGATTGTGGAAAAACATTTATTATTTATGAAATGATCAACAGAAAAAATATAACAATAAAACTGAGATTATTCCAGCTTAATGTAAATATTTAAATAACAACACAACTGATTTAAAATTTTAAGTTGAAAATGAAATCATTAGAAAAGTAACAGCTTTTAAGATATGATACCTCAAACATTTGGAAATCAAATGTGAATGATCTTCAAAAGAATACATTAAACCTCTCTATGATTAATATATCAAAAATATCAAGCATATTATTTTTAAAAAATTTAAAAATATTTTACTTCGTATATAATAGGAGCTGAAATTCTGATTAATTCATAATCTAAAAAGGTAAAAACATTTATAATTTTCAAATATAAACAAATGCTGAAAATTCCATGCCTGATCAAGCAGGAATTCGAAAATAAGTTCTTATATTTGGTTATTTGGTCAGATTTTTGGAAATGAGTTGGGCCAAGAACGCTTCAGCACCCCCCCCTTAAAAAAGAGAATTTCATTTACAAATCACACACATTATCGCATATTTTAATAATATTAAAATAAAAGTAATTGATACCTAAAAATAAGAGTATGTTATGACAAAAAGATTTTTTTACTTATTAAAATATCCTTATAAGATCATTGGGGTTCTGAAAAGGTTTGTTACCACTTAACTAACAACATCAATAAAGTGGAAGAGAAAAATATTTCTTATAAAGTTATGTATATGGAACATAAAAGGAGTATAATCTGACAAGGAAAAAACAACAAAACAGATAATATTTAATCATTCAGAATAAAAGCAACATAGTTGAAAAACAAAAAGAACAGTAAGTTAGAAAACAACTCACTATCAAAGAAAAGAAAAATATGGCTCTTGAATTCAATGCATATAAAACCAATTCTCATTATTTTTACAAGAAATTCATGAGATAAAAATAATTTAAATATACAACAGCACTAGAGGAGTGCATAAAGTAAATTGCTAGAAGCATTAGAATATGCTTTCATATACAACATGAAAAAAGCATACATAAAATGGTTCGTCCAGTAACACATAACATAATCACAATATATGTCTATCAGACATATTTAAGATGCAAAGAATGAAAAACATGCTTGTATTCAGTTAAAAATAAAAATGTGGTGACTGACTTTACCAATATTTCAATGTTTACTGATATCATTTTCAGAACATTAATATTCTGAGTATGACATGAATAGATATGGAAAAATATTTACAAAATCACCCAATATATTTTTGTTAATCAAGTATTGATTACTTACAAGCATATTTTTTCAGAGTTACCTTCATCCTTTTGAATATATGCCTGAAAACCTTTGATGTATTTCAAATAAGAGAATAATAATTAACTTAGATAAAATGTAAACCTTTGTAAATAAGAACTATTCCTCTTCCTTAATTTGGTATTTTTAAATGCATTTAATAAAATAAAAACTGTAAACATTTTTACTTGCTTAAAAGAAAATTTCCAGGTTATATAAAGTTTTATAAAAATTGCTCTAGAAAAATGCATAAAATGCTGACAGGACAAAGACATAACAGCAAAGCTTGATGGTATCAGCCAAGCTGAGAATGACAGCACTAAAAACAAGAAAATCTTAATCAGATTTCCATTTATTTTGTTATTAATGAATATCAATAATCATTTAGAACCTAAAAATTTATAATACAACTACAATATTATATAAAAAACTGAAATCTTTTCTCTTAAATAATTGCAATTTATAGGATCTAATTAACTTGAGAAAGTTGGAAAGTTTTGTTACAGCTCAAAATCTCTGCAATTAATTTTTTAAATGATAAATCAAGAAATGAAAAATTCTGAGTTAAAAATATACCATAAAATAAATATTTAAAAGTTATTACTTTATCAGGACTCAAACCAAACTGTTCAAGTCAGTTACAAGATTGAAAAAAATTGTTGATATAAACAAAAAAAAAAAACACTGCATAGTAATAAAATTTCAAGAAAAATAATTGAATCAAAGAATTGTTATACTGTAAAACAAAAAGAATAGAAGTAACACATTTTTGTTTACAATCATTTTCTTACATTTGTCTAATAGCATTTGAATAATACTTGTATACTAATATGCCGATGTATATGGTGAAATGAGATATTGACTTTTCTTAACCAAACTGTGCAAATCATGATGAAGTTTACATTCCTTTCAATTATTGATTATAAGTTTGGTTCCATCTGTCTATATTTCTGATATGAGGTATTGTAATTATTTGCACTATTTACATTGTTTGAAATGTTGTTCACATCTTTGTTACCATATTCACAATGTTTTGGCTGTTGTACACTCTGGCCTTCTACAGGCAATTGGAATTTCAAACCAAACCCTTTATTTCATCCAATGAGGTAGATTGTTCTAGTTTCACATGCCGTGCCTCTTCTAGCTATCTCAGTATCAGTTATTTTAACTCAATTCTGCTGTAACTAATTACTGAACTCACAACTCTTTGGGTCAAGTCACTGGATTACTTCAACTTGCCATCATCACCAGAAATAGCTAACATATACATGGAATACTTTGAGGAAATGGCATTAGAATCAACATCACTAAAGCCAACTCTATGGCTGAAATATGCAGATGACACCTTCAGACTCTGGCTACACCAGGACGTTGTCCAGCTACTACTGGACCATGTGAACTCAATAAGATCATTAACAATGATGAGAGAAAACAACAAACTAGCATTCCTGGATGTACTAATATCGCTAACAGAGTAGAGCTTCAAGACATCTGTATACTGCAAGCCAACATTCACCAGACAATACCTCAACTTCAACTCATATAGTCTAAAGAAAGGGATTGTCCACTGCCTACAACATTGAGCAAAGTCATAAGTGGCGATCCAGAAATATATGAACATGAAATGGTCAGTATAAGCAGTAGCCTACAATGAAAAAATTACCCTGGATACATGACAGCAGCTCTGACAAATTGGAATAGAAGGGTGCAAGAGAATAACAGCACTCAGGAAACAGCCTTGGTCAGAATACTCTATGTGAAAGGATTATTGGATAAAATACAAAAGATCTGTGGTCCATATAACATCAGGATGACCTTCAAAAGTGGTTCAACACTTCACAGACATCTCTTCTGAGTAAGACCTCCCATAGAGGAGAACATGATTAAGGAATGTGTGTACACCATCCCATGCAGCTGTGACAAGAAATATAAAGGAGAAACAGGCTGCAAGATAAGACTACAGGAATACCATAAAGCCATAACATGAGGAGAAATAGAAAAATCAGGAGTGGTTGACCATATATGGAGGGAAAAGGGAGATCACCACCCCCTATGAGATGAGGTTGAAATAATAGACAGAGAACATTACAGGAAAATACAAAACCTCAAGGAGTCAGCACATATGCTAGGCCACAAAAATCTCCTGAGCTGGCCAAGCATAGACATAAATACAATATTGGAACCAGTAATATGGTGTGCTAGAGGAAAACAATAATAGCAACAAAGTGTACTCAAGTACAGTAGATAAAAGCGTTGATTGAAGTAATCCAGTAACTTGACCCAAAGAGTTGCGAGTTTAATACCTGACTAAAGTTAAAGGGAAAAGGCATGGCACATGGAAATAGAACAATCTACCCCAATGGACAAAATAAATTGAAATTCCAATCACCTGAAGAAGTGTACAACAGCCGAAACATTTTGAATATGGCAGTGTGAACAATTGAAATAGTGTAAATAAGTTTGATTCTTATAAATAATCTAATGATATAAATAAAAAGACAAGTTTGTCTTTTTTAAATTAATAATTCAAAAAGATGAAATATTCCTTTAGCTTTAATGATATTAAAACAGCAGTAATATAATGAAATTATATCAACTACCAAATTGGTAACATTTTGTATAAATTTTGTGAAGAAATATCAAGCAATGAACAATTAAAGCATTAAAAGAAAATTTTATATTTATATTGTCAATGTAAACCTAACAAAAATGTTTAAAATATGTATTTAAAATAACCTGAAAATAATACAAATGATCAAATTATAAAAATGTAATATTAGGAAATATCAAAGAAATTTCTTTAGTTTTTCGACATAATTAACTGAAAATAATTTACAATATAAATATTAAAAACATTCAGCAAACTCAAATAAAAGTTCCTTCCATTAAAATATTTACCTATTCATAAACATTTTGAAATGTGCAAACAAAACTGAGATCACTTAAGTAAGGAATTAAGATAATTATGTTAAATATTTTTAATTTCTGGCAACCAAATCATAAAGAAAATTAATTACAATACACACTTATTACAAAAATTTACAGCATATTGAATGGTATATCTTTCGAGTTCTGCAACTGAAAGCTGTTATTCAAGATGAGTGATAACCTAGCAATGGGCTAGAGATACTTTTAAGATTTATAATTAAATAAAAAGCAATGTTTAATTATGAATATAGTTTTATTGTTAAGCACATAAGGTTATTAAAAATCATTAAAATGACAAGAAATACCTAAATCTCCCTAAGCATACAAAAAATTTTTAAAAAATATGCAAATAAAAAACAAAGTAGTAGTTAAATAAAAAATTTGAAAATCTTTATAATTTACTTCTTAATGGCATCC